ACCAGAGGAGATAAGCATTGGCTGCATCCCTGACACCATGTCCGGTGATCTCCCATCAAGCTCGTGCTCCCAGCAAAACCTGCCCCCAGCCTCACACAGCACCCCAGGGCCACCAAACTGCTCCGCTTGAGACAGGCCAGACCCACGCACCAACATCCTGCACTTGGCAGCTGCCTGCTGACACTTTTGGCCATGTACCCCCGAAGGGAGGGAGCCACAAGCTCATCACACTGATTTTCACCAGCCCCAGGATGCTCTCAGCCCGCCGTGGGGACGGGGAGAGGACTGAGTGTGGTGGGGCCAGCACCCGCGTCAGGTCCAACAGGGAAGCACGAGCAAACCTTCCTCTTGTAGAAATTACAGAAGCTCAAAAACCCGAGGCAAGCTTCTGTCCTCATTTCTGGCTTTTAAGCTAATGTTCCCAGACCGAGTGTTTTCTTAAGTTTTTATCAGCCTGAAAAAGAGTACTCCTAACTATCAGGACATTTATTAGTCTTCCCCTCTCCTTGCAATACTTAAAAGCAAAGCACAAATCAGAACCTATATGCAACGTCCAACAGTCAGATGGGGAAGAAGAAACCTTTCCAGCCACCAAGAACACATGCGCGTCCCCGTGTGCAGACTTTACTGCTTGGCGCTGCACGGCTTGCGGGGCCAGGATTTTGCTGGCCATGGGATGACTTTATTCCAGCCACAAAGCACAATGTATGGAGGATGTATATAGCAGGTTTCGTGACTACTACTCTGTCGCCCATCTGCACGCATCACTACTGTCTGCAGAACAAAAATACTTTAATCATGTCATTTTAGGGCCCTCCACACGTGAAGTCAGGGGATGAAGTGCTAGTCAAAGGTAAAATACTTGAGAACTTCAGCAAGGCCAGGAATTTGCCCCAGGGGCTGCAGCGGCAAAATGCAGCCAGAAAATCATCTTAAATAAAAACCTTTCTATACATAAGTTCATATTTTTCCAGGTCTCCGTATCTCAGTGCTAGAACCAAATCTTTGCTCCCACTGAGCACATCAGTAGGATACAGCCCCTGATTTCAACACGGGCAGCTGCCACCTTGGCCGCTGCTGGGGTAATTCCCAGGGAAAGCTCCACCTCGACTGGGACGAGAAGAAACACATTGGCAGGCTGATGGGCAGAGGAAATTGCTCAATTTTGCCTATGTTTTTCGAGCCCAAAGGAACGAACTGGCTCAGGTGGAGGGGTCACGATGGGTACGCTGTCAGATAGTTTATCAAGTGGCTCCGTAATTGGCTGGGGAGCTGTTACATCCCCCCGACGCGCACGCTGCAACAGAGAAAACTGCAGGACCGCGTGTGACCATGCATATACGTACGCGTGCCATAAACATGCACAGAAAGTAAGTGTTATGGACTCAAGGGAATTTTTGCTTTCAGGTACTCAACATCATTCCCAACCAGCATTACTGATCACAAGCCCAGGAGTGAGACCCTATCAAGGGCAATGGGAGCAAAACCTTGTGCCTGGTTTGTGCTATGCCCAGAGAAAATAACCCAAAGACACTGGACTCAGGGGAGTTTCAGAGGAGCCTTTGCAGAAGGGTATTTACCCGTGAAATGTTGGGGAAGGACTACTCCCCTCCCATCCCTTCGTCTCCCCAGCAGGAAACATCTTTCCTCCGCTGGCCACTTATTCACCCTATTTGTTACGGATCAGAGATGCTCACTGAGGCCAGGCAGAGACCAGAGGTACCAGTAGGGATGTCCCTGCCCTCTACCCCCTACCCCAAATACCATCATCTGCTTCGACCAGCGCTGGGCTAGAAAACCCGTATTTCTAGAGCCTATGAAGGGGTGCTGGTGGAGATCCTACCATCGTTGTTTGTGTCCATCTGTCTGAAGATCTTGTCTGTTCGCTTCTCGGGAGTGGATTCGTCTTCCGGCATTTTCATTACTGATGAAACCATTTTGTAGATTGCCTGAGTATTAAAAAAAAAAAAAAAAAAAAAAAGAAGAAGAAAAGATATAGGAAAAACACAACCCAAACAATAAAACATCAGGGCTGAGAAAAAGAATTTAAGCCTGTAGCAATAAAAAAAGGCAGCTGACCCTGGCAGGCAGCTGCGGGACTTTATAAACCAAAACAAATAGGAATTTCTGACTGCAGCTTTATTCTTCTTTCCTGTATTCATTCGCACTTCGAAAGAAGCTTCAGCACCGCTGGATCAGTGTAGCTGAAAGCCAGGGTCTGGATTAACGTACGAGCAAGACTACGCTAAAATACAGGAGGCAATGGTGTGTAATTCTCTTTTCTGCAACTGGGCTAAGCCATCGCCTCTTCGGCTGGCTCTCCGCATACGCTCAGTTACATGTATGTATGTGGGGGTGTTGAATGGATTACAGGTGAATGTGAATATGTAGGAATAGGGGTGGTTCTTTGTGGATGGGTGAGGAGATGTATTTTCAGACTTCGAAGAATGCGAATAAAGACAAGACCTCTTTAGGACATCTGCAGTCCTGGCCCTCCTCCTAAAGCGCCCCCACTCAGCCGTGAGGACCACCCGCCGGGGGCTGGCCAGCTGCACCGCGTGCTTCCCAGTGCTTCCCAGTGCCCCTCGCAGTGCACTGGAGGTGCCGCTCAGCTGCAGCGCGGATGGCAGCAGCCCCTGGGCAGGGGCACAGGGGGCTCTGCCCCACATGGCCCCCCCAGTATGGCCCGTGGGCTACGCACCCCCAGCCTTCGGGAGATGAGGACATGCTACATTTCACCCGCAGCTCACGCTGACGCAGACATGAAGTTTCAAATTACTAATTTTGAGATTAATCAGGTCAGTAAAATTTGCATGTAGGGTTTTTTGATCCCATCAACACCCCACTAAGAAATCTCCAGGGAGAGCTGCAAGGTTTTGGCTGCGGGCCAGTTGCACAGCACCCTGTTCGTCTCTCGGGCTCTTTCCTCATTTGCGCTTGTTGGTCCCACCATGGCCCCCAGTGTCCTTTTGGGGACTGTGGGCTCCGGAACCTCCCTGGGGCAGGAGGGACCCAGCTCAGCGCATCCCTCATCTCCAGCTCGAGCGGTCTCAGGGTGAAGAGGTTACAGCAATGTGAATAAAACATAAAACAGAGACAATGCCTCACCTGCACTATTTCTAGCATTTCCCCGCGGCTGATGTACCCGTTGCCGTCCAGGTCGTACATACTAAATGCCCACTTCAGCTTCTGCTCCAGCTTGCCCCGAGAGGTGACGCTCAGGGCGATGATGAATTCCCTAAAGTCAATCGTCCCGTCGCCGTTGGTGTCAAAGGTGCGGAAGACGTGCTCCGCGAACTTCGACGCATCGCCATAAGGGAAAAAATTTGCGTATATTTTTTTGAACTCTTCCACAGTCAAATGGCCCGTCGGGCAATCTTTTAGGAAGCCCTTGTACCACTCCTGCAGCTCGTGGTCTGTGAACTCGGTGTTCTCGCGCAGGTCCTGGAGCACCTCGGGGCGCAGCTTGCTGTTCTGCTTCCCCATCCTCTTCTGGATCCGGGTTCAGCGGCTGCAAAGCGAGAGAGCATCTGCCTGAGCTCCGGCCCCACTCGGCAAAGAGGGGCCAGGGGCAGGCGGAGCCCTGTGGGAAACGCAGACCCTGCCCGGGGAAAGGGGGAAAGAGGAGAAAAAGGATGCTATAAATCGCTAGGAAAATATCTCATTTCATCTGGCCTCTTTTCCTCTCCTCTAGGCTCTCTGTTACTAGAATGCCATGGAAGGACAAGGGAAGGCAGTTTGGGAGGGGCTGTTTGGGAAATATTAACCCTTGTTATTAATCCTTATTATTTGGGAAATAATAATCCTCATTATTTTATTTCTCTGCTACAATCGCAGTCCTCTATCATATGGTGTGCGATGCCCAGGTCTGGGCGCCAGCTCTTGACCCACCCCAACAGGCTGATCCGCTGCGATGACTGAGCGGGAGGGGACCGCAGCGGCAATGGGAAGTAAAATCCATCTACCCAAAAGCGAAAGCGGGGATGAAGCGAGGGGCAGGAAGGGCAGGTGGCTCCATGCCAGCCGCATTCACATCACCCAGGCGCTCTTTGAAACCCTTTGGCTTATGGAGCATCTCCTCCCTCCTCCCGGGACAGCAGCACCAGCGCAAGGGATTTCATCCTTTCCAGCAGATCGCAAGCCTCTGCCTCCCCGGACAAGCAGAGAAAAGGACTTTTTAAAGCAAAATGTATGGCAAAGCAACTCCTTCTGGGCTTATTGGGGTTTATACTTTTATATAAGCTTGTTCAGTAGTTCAATATTCCCCAGTGTGAGCAAAAGGGCATTTCAGCCTCAGGATTTTGTCAGGATTTCAGGAGGGGGCTGGGCTTGTCCCCTCCTTTGACAGTGCCTGTGATGTGCGTGTGAGACTGCCCGGCAACAGCAAAGCTCCTTCAACAAAATAAAGGATGCTCAAGCTGCACTTAGGAAACAACAGAAAAAAAAATACTTTGTTGTATTTTTGGCTTTATCCCTTCACAGCCTTTCATGGCATCCCAGCAGTACCAAACCGAGCTGCCAAGCAAGAGGTTGAGCTGCATCTCCTTCCCCAGACTCAAGAGGTTTATTCACCAGCTTTGCACAAAGTCACATCCAAACCCCTGTGACTGGTCCGGCATAAATGACATTTCTCTGCACAGTCTGTGATGCCCCTGTTAGGCTTGCTCAAAGCCGGTGCAGAAGGCAGGTCAGTAACAGGCCAGCACCGCGCGGCTACTCGGGAACTGCGAGAGCCGAGCAGCAAAGCGTGCACAGAACAGGAAAAAGGTAACGGGGGCTAAGCACTTCCCAGAGAGTAAAAATCCCAGGCATGCATAAGAACCTAAAAAAAAAAAATGTTAAAGGTCAGCAAAAAAAAAAGTTCCCCTACAGCAGAGTAGGTTTTCAACAGCTGAATTTAAGGCTCATTTTATTTGTATTCCACTTAGTCTCTGCGTCACCTCAGCAATGTAAAAAATCCACATCCTGCTCTGTGGCTTAATGCTCAGAGACAAAAAGCAGCCAGCTGCTCATTAGTTCAATGCATCGGGCTTAACGGAAAACTGTGTTATCATTAGCACTTCTGTTTTCTAGAAAAGCTGCCAACATTTCATCTCCAAAGCTTTATTTTTGTCCATCACATTGCAGAGTTTTCTCTGGTCCCCTGACACACCTCTGCTTGCTCCTGATGTGTGGGGATGCTACAGCTCCCGGTCCCTGCCAGCATCGTCCCTAGGAGAGCACTGGGCTGCCCTCCAGTTAAACCACTAACTCCCAGCTGCTCCTGCTGCCTTTCCATCTTTGAATCTCCCCTGCTCCAGATATCCATCCTTGCAGTGCCGAAGGCAGAAAACACAATATTCTACTCTGCTGCAGTCAATTTGCAGAACACAGTGGCCTGGAGCAAATAATGGCTCGACTGTGGTCCTTTTTTTAAGAACAGAAATTGTAACACTACATTTCTGTCCTTGGGCGAGGAGGTGCCTTTGGGTCCTGTCCTCCAGTGAATCCCCTTGGCTTCATGATGTCTGGTCCAAAAGCAGACCCTGCCCTGCCGGCAGCTGTCTCAGGCTTCCCTGGGAGAGGGGCAGGAGCAGCAGCAAAGCCCGCTTAATGCAGGATCTGGACTTTACACAGAAATAAACTCAGATTTAATCACACACAGGGCTGGGGAATGCATGTAAAATTTCCAACTACTGGCAGTTCAAAGAGGTTTGGAAAGGTCTAATGCCATTTCTCCCTGTCCTTATAATACCTTTATTATTCCTGTTCCCTTAAAAACAGAGGCCCCTAGACAACAGAGTTAAGATGTTAACTTCATTTATTAGATTTCACTACTTCTGCTAGCAATAAGATATATCCTGTATTTGGACAGATGCTCACTTAGTATCAGCTCCAAAAGCTTTACGTTAAAGTAGGCTTTGCATTCAACAAATTACGGGTTATTTCAATCCTTCCTCCTCTTTTACATCTCTTTATATCAGAAAAATAACATGCAATGCTCTGAACACAACCTTTTTGCATATGAGCTTTCTGAAAGGCTTCATAATATGTTCAACCCAAATGTAACCCTGCAGTTGTTGTAACCAATTTGTTATGAATAATTAAATAACCAACATTAACATTAATTTGTTAAAGCCCATCTAAAAAAAAAAAAACAACAAACCAAACAGCTTTGATGTGCAGGTAGCTCCTCCAAAATGAAATGCCTAAATATCTCATTAATCACGACAGCAACCCCTGCTGCTGGCATCCAGCTGACATTTCATTCGATTGCTATAAAATGCTTTCATCAAATCACTTTCCAGAGGCTCAGCAGCTGATTTAGCCACAAGACCACTTGGAGGACGGCTGCTAATGGAAATCATAGGGAGCAGGTCTGGGATGCTTGGGTCAGTCTTGTGATTCGGGCTGTGGGTTGTTTTTGGTTTTTTTTTTTAACAAGCCCGCACCAGCCAAATCACTCACCGCAGTGGCTGTACAAGGCAAGGGAGGAGAGACATCACAGAATCACAGGGGTTGGAAGGGACCTCGGGATATCATCCAGTCCAACCCCCTGCTAAAGCAGGGTCACCTAGAGCAGGTTGCACAGGACATCATCCAGGCGGGCTTTGAATATCTCCAGAGAAGGAGACTCCACAAACCCCCTGGGCAGCCTGTTCCAGTGCTCTGTCACCCTCAAAGTAAAGAAGTTCTTCCTCATGTTCAACTGAAATCTCTTCTGCTTCAGTTTGTGCCCATTGCCCCTTGTCCTGTCACTGGGCACCACTGAGAAGAGTCTGGCTCCATCCTCGTGACATCCACCCTTAAGGTATTTGTATTTATGAGATCCCCTCTCAGTCTTCTCTTCTTCAGGCTAAACAAGCCCAGCTCCCTCAGCCTTTCCTCACAGGGGAGATGCTCCAGTCCCCTCATCATCTTTGTCGCCTTCCTCTGGACTCTCTCTAGGAGGTCCTCATCCTTCTTGAACTGGACACAGTACTCCAGGTGCAGAGTAGAGGGGGAGGATAACCTCCCTTGACCTCCTGGCCACACTCCTCTTGATGCACCCCAGGATGCCATTGGCCTTCTTGGCAACAAGGGCACACTGCTGGCTCATGGTGAGCTTGTCGTCCACCAGGACTCCCAGTTCCCTCTTGGCAGAGCTGCTTTCCAGCAGGTCAGCCCCCAGCCTGTACTGGTGCATGGGGTTCAACCTCCCCAGGTGCAGCACCCAACCCTTGCCCTTGTTGAACTTCATCATGTTCCTCTCCGCCCAACTCTCCCGCATGTCCAGGTCCCGCTGAATGGCAGTGCAGCCTTCTGGCGTGTCAGCCACTCCTCGCAGCTTTGATGAGTCCCCCCCATCCTTGCACCCAGCGTTGCCCTGGGCAGTCAGCAGAGACCTAACTCCAACACAGCCTGCTTGTCCCTCATTTCCCACCACGCCAGGGTGAAATCCAGGGAAGCGATGCCACACACATTGCAGCAAGGTCCCATCCCTGCATAGCTCAACGAGCAAAAGCCCTCAGAGCATCTGGCACTACCATGGCAGTAACAAAAATAATCCCAGGAATGTTTTTTGCCCTTGAGGTAAACAGACAAGGAAAAGCCTGGAAGTATAACTGCAGAGCAGTAGACTTCACAGGTATATCGTTGCTCATGAAAGCGATGCTCAGTCATGCAAGGCTCAAACAGGAGGAAACGCAGATGCATTTTTGTTCCAGTTTCACACCAAAAATTATGTGGTGTTGCTGCCTGCCTGTAATAAGCTACATCCAGCCAGGCCAGAAACCCGAGATTCCTACCTGAATAGATCCTCTGCCCTTCTAGACCCACCAAAAAACCCCAATAATGCCATAGCAAAAGCCTAGCAATGAGAGAAAGGGTCTTCTACTGAGGCCCAGACGCACACCAGTTACGCAGCCCTGCAGTGAGTAACTGTGCCTACCTCTGAAACAGCTGAAGTAGCAATTCTGTGTTTTTACCAATAGATGGACCGGTTGTCAGCATCCACGCACTGAAGTATTTACATACTCGTAACAGAGCTCAGTGCATCCTACTCTTGCATGAACTCTCCGTCAACCACCGGTTCCTGCGGGTAGAAGCCTCCTCCAAGCACGTAACCCAGAAAGCTGGAGAGTGACCCGGCTTTCTCGCTGCAAACCTTCTGAAGGCAAAACCACCTCGAACTGAACTCCTGATGGGATCCTCTTAGGGCATCAGTTACTGCTGCAAAAGGAGGAATGAATCCTTAGAGATGCACTTCCTAGTGCAAACCCCCTTGGATACTGATTTAGTGTTAATAAAAAGAGGAAAATTGATGAAATGCCTGCCTGCAGGACAGAGGTGCTCTCCAGCAGAGAAAGACGGTGCACAGAGAAATAGAATAAATGCTCTTCATACTATCTGAGCTATCTGCTTTGCAGGGGGAAATCTAATACCATTTCTTTTGCAGTACTCACTTACAAAACAGAACAAGCGTGTCTGAGATCTGTTACGATCCTGAAGCTGTAGCACAGTGCCTCTGGGACTGCAGGAGCCCAAACCAAA